TGTGAAATGGTTTCTTTCAAAAAGGATAACCTGAACACAACCACTATGAAACACAGCAGCCTTTGGATAACAGACTTGCTGACAAAAAGATTCAGGTCCTGGCACAGTAGCCGAATGGCTGAAGCCCTTGCCTTGCATGCACGTGGATCCCATACGGGCCGAGCTTCCCATCCAGCTCCGTGTTTGTGGCCTGAGAAAGCAGTAGAGGATGGCCCTGTACTGCAGCCCTCCCTGTACCTGTATAGGAGACACGAAAGAAGCACCTGGCTTCGGAATAGGTGAGTTTGGGCCATTATGGCCTCTTGGGGGGTGAACTAGAGGACAGAAGACTTTTCTCCATGTATCTCCTCTTTGTAAATCTGCCCTTCCAATAAAAATGAATCTTACACACACACACACACACAGAGGTACATAGCACACACACACACACAGAGGTACATAGCAAAGGAGAAATTGCTTGAGTAACTGATTTCCATGTTGTAAAATAGTTATGGCAGAGCCGAGCATGTTGTGTCCCAGCTGTTCCATTTCCTTCCAGCTCCCTGCCTGTGGCCTGGGAAAGCAGTTGGACTGCCCAGAGCCTTGGGACCATGCACCTGTGTGGGGGACCCAGAAGCAGCTTGATGCTTCTGGTTTCAGATCAGCTCAAATCTGGTGCCTGCAGACACTTGGAGAGCAAACCAGCGGACAGAGGACCTGTCTGTCTATCCTTCTCTCTGTACATCTGCCTTTCAATGGAAATAAATATTAAAAAAAATAGTTATGGGGCTCAGCACTATAGCCTAGTGGTCTAAATCCTTGCCTTGCACGTATTGGGATCTTATATGGGCGCTGGTTCTAATCCCAGCCGCCCTGCTTCCCATCCAGCTCCCTGCTGGTGGCCTGGGGTAACAATGGAGGATGGCCCAAAACCTTTGCACTCTGCACCTGTGTGGGAGACCAGGAAAAAGCTCCAGGCTTCTGGCTGCAGATTGGCTCAGTTCTGGCTGTTGCAGACACTTTAGGAGTGAATCAGCAGATGGAAGATCTTCCTCTATGTCTCTCTGTCTATATATATTTCTAATAAAAGTAAAAAAATAAATCTAAAAAAAAAACAGTTCTGGTAACTAGGATACAGAGACCAAAAAGAGTTGATCACTTACACATAAGTGCTTTTGTAGAACCGGAGTTTTCTATACTCGAGAAAACTTTTTCATGCTTGTTTGAAGGATATCCTGTAAAGGGGATTTTGCTGTTACAGATGCCTGGAGAAGCCATCTACAGGACACACACACGAGATAGAAACCCAGTGTGTAAGGCACATTCTGCTTCTGCTGAACAGCAGGATCTAGCCTGCAGATGCCTCTGCACTAATCAGCAAAGGAACAGAAGACCTGACTCAAAAGCTGCTGCGTCAAACCGGTGCTCTATGATGCTGAAAGGTGTTTCAAAGAAATTCATTTGAGGAGCAGATTATTTCCATTCCCAACAATCTCAATAGTGTTAGCTTCTAGAACCTGTTTCCAAAGTGCCTGCTAAGCTGATAAGAGAATCAAAACTAATTAAGACTTAGAGCACAACTACAATTTAGAATGGCTATACTGCTACACAGCTGTTATCACACCAATCCATCTAAATAGGAGAAACTAATTTTGTTTAAAGTAATATGCAAAGCATCTAGTACAAAGACAGTAACTAACATAAAAAAAAATCAAGTATTTTTTGGGGATCACTACAAAATGATTAAAAGTTAGAAATATCCAGAAAAGGAATCATACTGTATTTAAAAATAGCCCAATGAGAGGCTCTCTAAAGTCCACAAGCCTTTTTACTTAGGTGCTTCAACATACTGCCTGTGAGGTTTAAATCAAGCACATTCTTGAGACTTTTTAAAAATAAAATTACAGTCTTGCACAAACAAGTGCTTATCTTACACTTAACATTTTAATTAACTTATATTCATTTTGAACTTAGCAGAAGTTGCTCTACTGATAAAAGTCATGTCATAATGACTTGGCCAAAAACAGTACAACGTAATATTGTGGTCTAGGAGTATTTACAAATCCTGAAAATTACTCAACTCATTTATGAGCCAGCAGAAAGCCAAAGTTGAAGCTCCTCCAACAACCAAATTTGCTGCAGGTCAGTTTCCCTAGAATCTTGAAATTAGCATTTGCTAATGTTTTATAAACCCATTTTATGAACTCAAAATTTTAAAAGGATATGAAAATAAAAGCACACAAAAATGAAGTTTCCTTTCTGTTATACTCTTAAAAGGAATTCCACTGGGAGTCTGTTAGGCATCTTTCTGAAAATTATGTAACTAGGTGACTGAGTTTATATATTTAAGCAGTTATGAATATTTGAGCATATAATTTTATCAGCCTATTTTCCACAGAATTTCTAGGCAGGAAACTTGTTTTGTGCTTTTCATAACATCCTATGAGAGAGCTCTGATATCAGTAAACACAGCCACAGTTCTGTTAAAGACCTTTTTTATTCTAATTTTTCACTATTAAAAACAGTATGTATTGGAATTTCAATGTACAGTTATACAAGAATATGTGTGATAAGTTTCCAGCAGCTGAACTGCTATCAAAGGATACAGACTGTGAAACAAGTTTTTTTTCCCATCAGGATTTTGCTCAATATTCATCAGTTGATGGAATGGTGGCAATTCATCTATTTCATCAAATGCGATCTGGTCTCAATGTTGCTCCAAAAGGAATGACAGGGAAAGATGTGCATTTCCTTTTCCAACCCCTGTACTGCAATTTTACATTCATCTACATAAGGGTACATTTTGTTCTGCTCCAATTTTCAAGTTGCTTTGGTAGTATTTATTTTTAAAAAAAAAATAAACTCATAACTTTCTGCATTTCTATAAAATCTTCTGACAAAGACTATTTTATGCATTTTCATTCTGCTGAATGAATTTCATTCGGGTATAAGGAGGTGCAAATTTAAGTGTTTTATGAAATCAGAAATGCCCTCACTAGCCCATATTACATGTAGGCAGAAAATAAATATCAACCAAAAAACCTCTTTAGAACTCCCACGCTTCTTGAACTGGAAAGATTTATCACTGAAGGTCTGTTATAGTCACTTGTACATAGTTTACAAAACTTCCCCCATTCATAAGTAAATTGTGGGACCAAGTTTAAATGCCTACTGTTACACTTTAGACCTTCTCACTCACATTTGAAATGTTTGTTAAGTTGGTATATCCTAGGAAACACAAAGCAATGAAAGAGGCAGATCACCAGCACATTCAGAATGAATGTCAAGATGTTTTGATGAAATTCAGAGAATGTAAAATTCTAATTATGTTTTCTTGTAAATGAATGTTTGCAAATGAGCAGAAAACGTGGTAAGCCACAAAGGCAAATCATAGGACATGTTTCACTGTTAGAATTTTTTCCCATTTAAATCCATTTAAATCTAATAACACATAACATTTTTGTGTTCACATGTATCTGTAAATGCTTATGTAAGCAGATTTTCTCAAAATCAATTTCTACTGTATCCTAACCTAAGATGTAAGACAGGTATTTGACTAATCTGGTATTTTCCATAAACTAAATTATTTTTGGTATTCAAAATCCTGGAGCAATGTGTTCTAGACAGCAGGACACAAACTAGAAAGTTCTGAATCTTCTAACTTCTTTCCAGGTACAAGATTAAAGGAAAGTGATCTCTTCTCTCCTCCCTGTGTGACACTGACTGGCACAACAGACACTCAGGAGCCACAATGGTAAAGTCCTCTACCCATCTAGCTGCCCACTTGCAATTCAGCATGTAGCAACTCTTTCTTTCCTGCTGAAAAAATGAGGAAGATGAGTGGACATTCAGACCACTCAGTAATTGATATTTGACAAATATCACTCAGTTTCCAACCCTGGTGAAATAATAGATTCAAATGGGAAACTATAATAAAGGAAAACATTTTTATTAGGAATAATCTCAAGTAGCTAAAAAATGCTGAAAGAGCAAGATGAACCACATATGTACTAAACATCATAGGCTTTAAACAATAAATTTATGGTTATCCTTGTTAAACACAAACGATCTTCTATCTGTAGTACCCCAGGGAAAAGTCATCACTATTCATCATTTAGGTACAACAGGCAATTTTTATTTATTTTTTAACTCAGTTGATCAAGAATTTACAAAATAAAAAGACAGCAGAGAAATATCAGAAATTTTATAACGGGTCAACACTAAAATGCCATAATGCCAGTTAGATTTATGAAAGTGCCAATATGTCTTCCCAAAAATACAACCCTTTCTTTTGATTGTTGAGAAGACTGAACAAGTCATGAAATTTTTATTTTTACAAATAAACTAAAAGTGAGTCTTTCCAATAAAAATAAATCCCTGTTATCACACTGCATACTAAGGCATACAGCCAATTACTTAAGCGACTTCGATTAAGTAAAGACATGGTCTAAGATTGTATAAAGTCAAAATCTTCAGGGTTCTGCTTTGATATGAGGTTTGTGACTTAAGAGCTTAACATACGACCACCACTGACAACAGTGGCAATCCAAATGGGTGCTGGTTCAAGTCCGGTATGTTCCACTTCAATCTCACCTGGCCCAGCAGTTGAAGCCATTTGGGGAGTGTACCTGCAGATGAGAGAGCACTCTACCTGTAACTCTTTGAAATAAACAAATCGTAAACAAACAAACAAAAAACCCAAAAACACTAAACTACAATTTACTACAAATCCGGTCCTAGCCAAAAAAGGGATCAGATATTAACTACATGCCAAGGAATGCCAGACAACAATGCAACAATGTCAGGCTCAAAAACTTCAAAGCAAGAACTCCAGACTAATATTATAATAACTGGGTGTAACACTGACTACTTACAATAAATGTATAAAAAACACTAATACTAACCCAATGTTGTGGCATAGAGTGGGTTAAGCCACTGCCGTTAATGTCAGCATCTCATATGGATGCTGGTTCATGTTCCAGTTGCTCCACTTGTGGACTAGCAGATGGAAGGTATCTGTTTATAAGTCTCACCTTTGAAATAAATGAATCCTGAAAAAAAAAAAAAATCTAGTAATGTGTATTTTTCCAAAGATTTAAATCTTGCAACCACTGGTTCACTCCCCAAGTGGCCGCACATGGGATCAGCTCCTGAACTGAGCCAAAGCCAGGAGGTTCTTCTGGGTTTCCCATGTGGGTGCAAGGTCCCAAGGCCTTGGGCCGTCCTCTACTCTTTCCCAGGCCACAAGCAGAGAGTTGGTTGGGAAGTAGAGCAGCCAGACAAGGCACGCAAAACAAGGATTTAGCCACTGGGCCATATGTATAACTTACAATAAAACTGTGAATTATGTATATTCTGCTAAAGAAATTTCTATTTTTCCTTTGTTCTTCTTTCAAATTTACCTCAAGCAGAAGGTAATTTTATTCCCTTTGCTATACCTTCGAGGATATTAACCTGGAGAAAAAAAAGGCAAGGTTGGAAATAGGATTCAGGTTAATAAATGTGATAAAATTTGGTGAAATAGGAGAGATGTAGAAGCCAATGTGCTGAAATAACAGCTCAAAGGTATACATGACTCATGAAACCAACTGAACCTGCAAATAACCTTAAAGAAAAATGCCTGGGATGTGATTTCCACTGATGTTTATAATCTCAATTTAAAATTCAAATAAAATAAGTAGGTGATGGTATACTGGGGATTATTGACAGCCCAAACTTAAAGGCAATAAGATTGTTTAAAAGTGGGGAAGTAGAAAGGTATTGAGCAAGCCTTTCATTCAGGTAACAATTCCCACTCACTATATTCATAGATTTGAAATCTGATGCCTTTAAGTAGTAGGTTAGAATTCATGCCTAGTTTGTCTGTTTCTGTTCTACAAGAAATGATGCATCAACAACTGCTATTTATTGTGGAGAAGAAATAAAAACACACATTGATAAAATGAGTACAGACTGTACCTTTTCTCATGCAGTAAGCTCAATACACAGCCAAAAGTTTCCAGTGATATCTAGCATGATAACTTCTGTCCAACTTGACCATAAAAGTTTCCCCTCCAAAACCTGACAGACTATACACTGTTTCACTTTGAGGGCAGCAGCCCTGAAGAAGCAAACTGAAGTATTGAGAAGGACTGGGGGAGGGAGCAGATCCCAGGGTAGACATCATAGAATGAGTGCACTGATGAAAGAAAAATTAGTTCCCCCTTCAAATTTATAAAGACAAAATCAAATGAATTTTAGCAAACAGGATTAAAATACAGTTCTGAACTCATTTTACACAAACAGCTCTCTCATGCCTGTTATAAAATTACAGAAAATCTTAAGACACAAGGGGTTTGCATAAATGTAAAATGGAAGTGATACCATTTATCAAACACAAATTTAAAAACATGACAGAACTGCCTGCACATGGTGCATAAAGTACTTTATAACAAATTTTATAGTTTAAAAGTGACCTGGAGAAACAAAAGTTGGATGTAAAATCAAATCTAGTGACAATTAATTCCATACCTAATATCCCAGAGTCTACACCATCTTCATTTTTCAAATTCTCAGCATGCAACTCTGTAAACACAAAGAGGGACTTAGGTGGAAAAGCGAGATTATTTGCAAACTCGGAGAGCATTTCAAGGGTAAGAAGTCTGAGGAGCTGTGGCATGTGCTCTGCAGCCAGCAGTGGGTTCAACTTCTCATACAATTAACTAGCAAAGAGAGCCACTAGAGAAGGCATCCACCATATATATTAAATGGGAGGCATGTTTATTCCCCAGGAAGACATTTTATCTAACACAAAGTAAAGGGCAGTTCAAGTTTTGAGTTCAGTTCCTTTCTCTGTTCTCTAAGACAAGCAGAATTCAATGCTTTCTACTGCAAGTTTGTACTTGCTGTGATTTTTATGATTTTATGCTATAAAGGCAATCTGGGCAAAGATGGAAATATCAGGATACAAAAGGCAAAAAAGGGAGAAGGGGAATGACCCAGAGTCACATACTGGCAGTCAAACATTTAAAAAAGGGGCTATTGGATAAAGAGGTAAACCCAATAGGTTAACTTCCCAATCTGTCTGCTGCTTTAAAATCAAACGTAGTAAACACTGAAGTGTCATCTGCAACACAGTAGGGCTACCAAATACTGAAGAAAAATGAAAACCAGAATGAAACTGATTTTACGCAGTGATGAATATGTAAATAGCAATGTACAGGCTGCTTTCATACAACACAGCTCTTTCAAATTCTTTTCCTTTCCGTGACTCAGCTACTGAGATTTCAACTCGTCTGATTTGTTTCACTTTACAACATCCTACCACCATTGAATTAGTACATAGGTTTGGATTTAAGAAATCTTCAAAAAAAAACACTTGTTTTTATTCCAACCTTGCCAGTATTTCTACTTCATAGACGGGAGAATAAAATTGCAGAAAGAATAGCTTATGTTTCATGCACCAAAACTTTGCATCCCAATTTGAAGAGAAGCTGAAAAGACTTCATCTACGGAAGTTGACTTTCGGACTGTGGAACAAACTCCATGTCCTTCAAAAATCCCATGCAGTACTGGTGGAGCACACACCTTCAAGCATTCGTGCACTAGAGCTTCAACACTGCCCATTTAATCACATGCACTTTCCGCCGTCGAGTAGGTGGCGGCCCGCAGCCTGCCTGAATTAACTCTGCATCACAGGTTCAACGATTTAGGGACTCATTCTTGAAATGCATCTCCTGATCCTGGGCCAGGGCCCTCTACCTAGGAAGACCGGACAAGCAGGCAAAAACCGAGCAAGGTGTGCACAGAGCTGGGGAGGGCGCGGCTGCACGCCAGAGCTCCGAGGCAGGGCGGGGCCGAGCGGGCTGGGATGAATGCTGCGCCCCGGGCCATCTGTGCTCGGGACAGACTACCAACCCGGGCTTCGATACCTTTAACGACCAGGTAGACGATGGCGAGGAGAAAGGCGAGGATGACGGCGAAGAGCAGCGAGCACAGAACAGAAAGGACCTGGACTGGCCAGCGCCGAGCCCTGGTTCGGATGCCCGCAGCCGCAGGGAAGATGCCATTGCGCTTATCCGGTAGGACCGGCGAGCCGTCCCCATCCGGCGGGAACCGACAGCCCCTCTTGGGCTCCGACGACGCCCCGGCCGAGAACTCGGCCCTCAAGTCGCGGGCCACTGGGTCACAGCCCTGCTCGTCGTCCACTTCCCCCTTTCCCCAACGGTCTCCCTGAGCAAGGGTGGAGTACTGCGACGAGAGCAGCGCCGCAGCCCCCAGGCGTCGGAGCCGCGGCGCCGTCGGCCTCCCGCTCTCCACAAAGGACATGGCGGGAAAGACGCCGAGAGCCGCCGGGGGCGAACGACTCCCGCTCGCCCCGCCCCGCGACCGCGACAGCCAATCAGCGACCGGGGCGCCTCCGCGGCCTCCACCAACCGGGCCAGCGAGCGGGGGTGTCCCGTGGGGCAGAGCGGGAACGGCGGGCTCCCCGGCACCAAAGCCCCGACTAAGGGCCGTGGGTGAGAGGGGGAACAGGATGACGGGCAGGAAGAGGCCAGCTGAGGCCGAAGGGAGCCATGTATCCGGTCCCCGACCCGCTAGGGTCTCGCCGCGGAGCGTCGCGCCGTCTCCATGCTTAGGGCGCGCCACAACAATCCAGGAGCGCCAAGGCTATAAAGCTGGCGCATGCGCCGTTCCCTGCACCAGGCGCGCAGCTCGACTCCGCCCCGCCCCAAGAGTGGTGCGCGCGCACCCCTCCCGTCATCGCTCCTCCTACTAGCTGCCCGGCCCGCCCTCATCCCAGCCTGCCTAGGGCGGCTTCGGGGGCGGGGGAAGCGACCGTCCCTACTGTCCCACCCTGGCAGAGTGAAGCAAGGCAGGGGAACAAGAGGCACGTTTGTCTTCTTCTCCCCAAGGGAAGTTGGTCAAGAGTCTTCCCGGCAAAAGACTCGTCTCAGAAAACTTCCTCCGTCTCCTCCCCGCCCGCAGCAACCCGCTCCTTGCAGGCGACGCCGAGTGAGGCTGGGGCCGCGGGAACCAATGGCTGCAAGGCAGCTTGTCTCTGCCTTACCCTGATTGGAAAACGGGAAAGCTCGTCAGCTTCCTGGCCCCGCTGGTCCCGCCCCGTAGTGCAGGGTAGCCTTTCCCCTTTGGCCCCTGCGAGCGCCAGCCACTCAGAGCGCGTCTTGTTGGTATGTGTAGCGGCAGTGGCCGCCGGCCGAGCAGTCTGAGCCCGACGATGAGGCCGGGAACTGGAGCCGAGCGTGGAGGCCTCATGGTGAGAGAAATGGAGAACTTGCGTCCCTCGCGGGGTCCGGGGTGCGAGGAGGGACGGTGGTCCGGGTCCCACCTCCGCTGCAGCTCTGAGGTGTCTGCCGACGGCTTCCTCGGGCGACAGGCCTCCTTCGGGTAGAGCTCGGAGCTGTTAGGGGGCAGGCGGCACAATGAAAGCTGGGCAGGACTGGGAGTGGTGGAGGGACGTGCTCCGGGGCGGGATGGCGGGGAGAGTGCCCTGCGGGAAGGCGGCGGGCCCCTTGGAGTAGGGTGGTGGGCTCGGCCCGTGCCGGCCTTGGGCGGGGCGGCCGTCCGGAGCCGCAAGCCCGGAGGGGTCGGGGTTGGGACGCTGGGACAAGCTTCTGGGGCGCCTGCAAGAAGGTTGCGTTTCCGCCTGACGCGGTTGTGGGCTGCAGGTCTGCAGGGGAGAGCTCTGGCAGAACTGACCTGGAACAATGGACTCACGCGGAGAAAGTCTGTCAAACGTTCATTACTGTGGTTGAACCAGGCACCCTGTTATATTGCTAGCCTTTGGAAATGTGTCTTTGGCGGAAGAAATTGTACTCGTCCTGAAGGTTAGGATAGGCATGGAGTGTCTCCGAGTACCTTACTGTGCGTTCTGTAAGACACGGCTTCATCGAAATTAATTTGACAAGCACAAAGTTTTTAAAGTTTCAAATCGGTGGCATTGTAAAAAGTCAGCTGGCTTGTCTTACAAATTTATGTGAAATAGGATAAAGATGTGATTTTCATCATAAAACTTTCAACCAGCATTGGATGCCTGTTATCCAGGCCATTCTGTGAACGATTTAAATCAGTGCTTAAAGCAAGGGGGGAGGAAAGCAGGCTGATCTGACCTCCAGCAACGGTTGAAACCTTTCCCATTTTGTTAGGGAACTTGCAAGTTCATTCTTAGTGAAATGCATCCAACAGTAGCCTAATACATAACCACTACAGGTAAGTGATTTCTTAAAGTCTGATTTCAGAGACCCATTGTTACTTGGTAATTTTAAAATATTCTATGTTTTTCAGATGGGCCACCCTGGCATGCATTATGCCCCAATGGGAATGCACCCTATGGGTCAGAGAGCAAATATGCCTCCTGTACCTCATGGAATGATGCCACAGATGATGCCCCCCATGGGAGGGCCGCCAATGGGACAAGTAAGAATGTTATGTTTTTTTCTTTTGTGTGCTATCTGTTCGTGCATTTTTTCCCCCCACAGGTATTATGTCTCCATTTAAAAATGTTAAATCAATACAATACTTGTAGTTGGTTGAGGATTGATTTATGCCCATATAATATTTTCTGATGAGACACATGATGACTCAACATTGTAATTAAATTTCAAATGTAATGAAATATTGTTCTGCATTAAAAGTTACATACTGACTACCTCAACAAAATTCTTTCCTAGGTAACTATACACGTAGGCTTTTTTATTTGAAGTTCTTTTTTTTTTTCTCCCAAGCATGTCAGTTGGAGTTACTGCTTTGAAAGTGTAAATATCGTATAAAATGTCAGCTTTATATTTTGGTGGACTGTGTAATTACATAAACTGAAAATAGCAAATGTTTAAGTTTTTGATGTACATTGTGTTGAGTGGTGAGGGAGGGTTGGGAAATTACTGATCTATAATTCTGATTCCTCAGAGCAATGCCAAATAGGCAGTTCATTTTCAAATTATAAAGACTGTTTTGATTTTTTTTTTTTTAATGTTTATTACTTCTGCACTCCTGCTTTGGAGCTATCCCTGACATCTCTAGTATAAATTTTAAATGCATTGTTTTGTGGGAGTGATTGAGATCAGAAGGTTTGTGCTGACTCAGTAGCATCAGTAGAACTGAGTTAGTTAACTGTATTTTGTAGAATTGAATTTCTCGAGACGCATCCTAGAAAAGTAACATTCAGTTGCCATGACTAATTTTACACCCAATGTTATTAGGTTCTTTAATACACAGGTCCTTAGTTGGGTTATTTCTATTTGTCTCAATAAATCAGTAATTTAGGTTAACAGAAGTATTTTGAAAAGGCCATTTGGTGTGACCTCTTGTTGATTAGTATTACTGAACATGTAAGTATTTAAGCCTTGATGGTTAAAGTTACTAGTGAAATTGCAGTGATGGAAGGAGTATGTTATGTTTTTCTCTTTTTACTTAATCTGAAGAGTGAAAGGGCTCAATGTCAAGCTCTTGTCTTTTTTGTTTGAAAAACAGCCCTTAATCTACATAAAAACTTTATTCATAGGCACCAGACCCAAAAGATTCTGCCTGCAGGTGTTCTTTAATTAAAAGAGTCTTTTATTCTGTTACTGTAGATTAACACAAGTTTTAAAAATCCCTAGGTGATGCAGAAACAACTCTGATTCTTCTTCTGTATCTTTCCATCTCTAACCTGCAAGGAGCTCTTCTTGTTTTCTTGGTAGAGCTGCTCTAACTAGATAATGAGCTTTAAAAAATATATTTATCCTTTAAATGCTCTGGTTCTTATTTAAAATTAGTTTCTTTCCACAGAAAGATAAAATAAAACAATTTGCTACTGCCAGATGCTTCTCTCTTTTCTGGGGCCTTCTGTTTCCATTGGGCCAATCAAGGTAAGTTTGCAAGGGATTGACCTGCTTACCCTTGCTGTAATGGTGCTAGTGCAGTACCAAAACCAAAATACCAGCTAGTTGTTTCTAGTAAAATGCAGATTTTATTTTTCTAAAGTACTTTTGTTTGTCTCATTGACATAAGCTGGTCACAGTTTGCTTTATGGCCCTTTCTCTTTAGCTATTTCAGTGACCATCTTCCTCCTAAGTTTTACTTGCAACTTCGTACACTTCCATTCAGATACTCTGAATTTTTGCCTTGTGGTTTTCTTCTACTTTTTTCCTAGGCCAATATATGTCACGTGACTTTACATGTACCTGATTGTTTATATGCTGGATTTCTTTTTCCTGCTGTTGTTGGCTCCTAATAAGATAATGGATGTTTTAGAAGTCCAGCTCTGAGGAGCCTCAGACAATCTTTACTGCTTATCTCAAAGTTAGACTGTTCTCAGTATTTTTTTTCCTAAATACATAACTGACAAGTGTGGGCCCCAAATCTTGGGGAAGCTATTTCTACTAGCTTAACAGATGGGGAGAGCATGGTTAATTTGAGTCTTCAAATCATTGAGAAATCTTAGCACAAGTAAAATAAATAAACCAATAACTAGAAACATTGATCCATTTTCTGCATCATTTCTTCTGTCTGCACAGTCCTGTGTTGGTGAACAGTAATTGTCAGAAGAGAACTGACACATAGCAGCCAGGGGTGAAAGGGTTCTGCCATCTAGTTTTGAGTTAGTTGACTAAATCTTTAGGCTTTTAGGCTTTGGGATTACAGATTATATAACCTTCATTTACGATTGACCCTCTATTTGTAGCTCCTCTACAACCATGGGGTGAAAATATTTGAGGGGAAAGTTTTCTCTCTACTGAACTTGTACAGATTTTTTTCTTGTCTGCATTCTCAGTAGAGTGTAGCATCTATATACGTAGCTTTGAATTGTATAGGATCTGGAGAAGTAATGCAGTGATGATACGAAGTACATGGAAGGATGTACATAAATTATGTGCTAGTGCTTTGCCATGTATAAGGAACTTGAACACCCATGAATTTTGGTGTCTGCAAGGGGTTCTAGGACCAGTATGTTGTGGAAAGCAAGGGGTGATGACTGTTTTCACAGTTCATTAAGATGTCATACTGGAACCATTAGAAGATTAACAATGGTGTCAGTTTTATTTGTTATGTGATCATTGGAATGTTACTGAATCTGACATCAAATTTAAATTTTAGTTTACAATCAAATTTGATTATAAACTGATATGTGACTAAACAGAAGAATAATGATCTGGGGAAGCTAGAGTTTTGTGATTTTTTTTTTTCAAACATAACAAGTTACTTACAAAAGAGAACTTTCTTTTTTTAAGATTTATTTATTTTTTTTTATTGGAAAGTCAAATTTACAGAGAGGAGAGACAGAGAAAGGTCTTTTGTCTGCTGGTTCACTCTCCAAATGGCCATAATGACTGGAGCTGAGCCGATCAGGAGCCAGGAGCGTATTCTAGGTCTGTCATGCTGGTGTAGGGTCCCAAGACTTTTGGCTGTGCTTAACTGCTTTCCTAGGCCAAAATCAGGAAGCTGGATGGGAAATGGAGCAGCTGGGACTTCAACCGGCATCCATATTGGATCCCAGTGTGTGCAAGGCGAGGAGTTTAGCCACTAGGCTATTGTGCCTGGCCTAAATTCTTGTTTTTACCAAAAACAAAAAAAAAATATAATTGAAACTGGATAAGAATAAATATATGAAAACATCAAATAGGGCTTTATGGTATTTCTTTCAGATTTATCTTATTTTGAAAACATCAAATAGGGCTTTATGATCTTTCAGGTGTATCTTATGAGCTTGTAGGTTGTTTCCCTCTTACTGTAAATAGTTTGACAAGGTTCTACTTTTACAAGATTATAGGCTCTTATTGCTGGAAGAGACCTTACATGTTGTAAATAATTTGGCAGTAATTTAAAGGATGATTTTTTTTTTTAGAAGGACTATTGTAAAAATTATTGGTAAAGGTATTTTTCCCTGCATAGTAGCAATACAGAAAAATTCGATAACTATTTGAAGCACGGTTAAGTGTGTTTTTTCCTCCATCTGTCATAAATAATATTTGACTTTAAACTATAGTCATGTCTTCCTGTACTTTCTACACCAGAAACAGATACGGTCTGCTATCTTTATCATTGATGATTTCACCTTTGCCCAAGGTGGTACCAGAAGGTTGTTTTTTTCTTATTCTTTTAAGTCTTATTAATTTGGGGAGCAGTAGATCAGGGAACTCAAGGACTGCTTCAGCTTTAGCAGCCTTTGATGGAAGTCACATCATTTGATAAGAAGAGTACATAATACATTTTATGTTTTGATAACAAAAATAAAGTAAATATAATTCTGCTTTAGTCAGTACTTTTTTATTGTCTTTGTCAAAAAGTGACAGTCTTTTGCAAATGAGTTTGATTTTCTTGTTATATTGAGTGAGACAGGTTCTAATAGACCTCACTTTATTTCTGCTTCTGCTGCTAGCTGGGCTCAAAATCATGGTCCTGTTCCTAGGATATGTCACGATTTTTGAGCTGATTTCTTGCTCCTGTCACTCCCCTTTCATCACAATACTAGATTTCAGTTTCTGATCTCCTTGCCCAAGAATGTCATGTGTTTTATTGTGCCTTTAGCATAGCATCTAAGTTCCAGTACTTTGCTTATAGAGATTTACTTTAGTTGTGTGAAGGCAGGATTCAAAGATGCATGTCTTCATTCTCAATTTGAACTTAGGCTGGTGTCTAGGTGATTATATGACTGTTAGTTCCTGACTTCAAACTGTGTTCTTCTTAAACCCCTACCTGGTTCAATATCACCATGAACTTTCATTTTCTTAACAAAGTTCTATCATTTCAAGTTCTGCCTTTTCTTGGGGTTCTCAAAAATAATTTTGGCCAATATATACATTCCTTTCAAGTTACTGGAGAAAATTCCATGTAATCTGCCCATTTGTTACTATTTTCATTTTATTTCTGACACTGGGTTAATGACTTGTCATAATGTTTCCTATTTGTTTTGCTTTCCCAAAAAATAATAGATTGTAAGCTCTTGGAGGGCAGAAACTAGGTTTTGTAATTTTTAAGGTGTATGTAGTTCCTTACCATAATTGTTGGCCCATTGTTCTTGCTCAGTAAGATACTTGTTGAATGAATGAAGCAATTACTCTGCTACATTATATCCAGTGATCAGTGTTACCTTTGTTGGTTTGTAGTGATTATTTTTGACTTTACCTACCACCTTTTACTGTTGCTTTATCAATCTAATTTTCCAATTGAAATAATATCTTTTAAAGAAAAACAAGTGTAAGTTAAAGTTGGTAGTTTTTGCTTAATTGAATACAACTTATTTCTACTTTAAATTATAAGCTGATGTGTTCCTGTGGTAGGTAAGATTGTTTTTCCACAGCTTAGAGAACAATGATGATTTGGGATCTAGGTTTTTGAAGAAATGCCATGTATTGATTTCTTAGGTTGCTAAATGGAAACAATTATTTTTAGTGTTTTCTTTTGAGCTTTCCTGATTTTGATGTAGCTTCTGAAACTTT